CCAGTTGTCTTCTGGTACATCGACTGAGCGGTTATTATTCATGGCTGAGCCTTTCACAGTGAGCGTCAGAAGGTTGCTGGACTATATTGCTTCTGAGCCTGATCCTGTCGCCTTTTAATGTCCACACATGTAGGTGGTTTGTGGAAGGAGGGTCATAGGGAGCAGGAAGCTGGGTTATTCTTTGGGGTTTCCAACTAAGAGCTTACATGGCAAAGTCATTGCACTTTCTAACCCCAAATCTACCATTGTTGGCTTTACACAATGTGTATTTGGTGTTATATTCTTCATTGACAAAATTACAGCTTAATGTATTTGTTACCCAATTAGCTCTTCTCTCCCTCATAACCCAGAGATGTTCAAGGTCTCTATCGCTTTATTCTGCGCAAAATAATTGGGAGTAACTAGACGCTAAATAAACATTTTTCTGTTGCCACTCTGGTGTCAGTCCGTAATCTGAAACACTTGACGTGAAATAATGTTCAACTGGATGTCACTCATGTACACTTTTATTTATAAAGTGCTGAGTAAATTATGGATTTGGCACAGGATATGGTATTGTAGATATTTGCAAAAAGCAATCGCAGACTTGACCAACAACCCTGCCGCATATAAATAATAATAATGATAATCCTTGCACTTATAGCACATATAGTATTGAAGTCTCAAAGCTCTTTACAGGTAATTACTGTCATTGGAGTCCTGTAGCTCAGTGGTTAGAGCACTCGCTTTGCAAGCGAGAGACCCGAGTTCAATTCCAGGCAGAGGGCAAAACCTTGGGCAAGTTTCCTTACTCCACACAGAGCCTAATAATAATCCCTCCAAAACCAAAACAATAATAAATTGGTCATTTTCAATCTACGACTGTTTGTGGGACATTGCTGTGCGCAATTGGCTGCTGCGTTCGCCCACAAATATACAGTCAATTCACTTTACAGTGTGTTCTGTGAAGCGCTTTGGGACGTCCTCCCAACGTGAAAAGCGCTATATCAAATGCAAGGATTATTATTATTATTATTATTATTATTATGTGAGGCAACTGCTTCGGTAGGCGAATCTCCAGCCAGTCATGAGGTGAATAATCATTTAAGATGGAGGATTGTTGGCCTGGACCCCGGGAAGAATTCTCTTCTCTTTTCAAATATTGATATGGGATCCTTATCCTGCGCCTGAACAAGCACATCTCATCCCTCCGTGACCCCTGATAAGGCAGTAAATGCAAGTTGTCATTGTTTAGCTATGGTGCGTAATTGTTTTAAATTGCAATCCCAGTAGCTGTGAAGGTGTCTTTCCCTTTTTGTGTTTTCAGACGATTCACTCATCTGCCACTGAAAAAAATCCAAAGTAATTCTTTTGAGAGACTTAGCGATGTCATAAGAATGTAAGTTTATTGAATTACGAACAACGAATTTTCATTTAATCTGCATTTTGAACTAGCATTTACTGATAACATCTCATTTAATTCTCTTAAGCCTCTGAATGTCAAGTTAACTGATCCATGTTCCATGAGTCGCTCTTGTTCTGAATATTGGGATGCTGTGAGATAGTGCAAGCAAAGTATTTATGGAATTCCTGAAATATTTTGACCAAAGTTTCACCAACTTCCTCACTCCTTTCTTTGAAGATTCAAGGATGCTAATATTAAAAAAATCCTTGCATTTAACATACCACCTACAATTTCGAAAGGGCTTCACTTAATTGTTAGCAAGTATAGTGACTGGGCTTGCAGACAAACAGAACAACCAATTTACACATAACAAGGTCTCATCAACAACTTATCCAGAGAATTGTTGGCCAGAACATAGGGAGAATCTCCTTGCACTTTTCTGAAAAATCTCATGAGATGTTTAACATCCAGTTGAACAGGCAGACAGGACCTTGGTTTAATGTCTCATCTGAAGGGTATCACTGAAGTGCTCCATCTCCACCAATACCTCACTAGTGTGTCAGCGTGGACTGTGAAGTGAAACACACAACATTGAATTGAAAAGAGGCCCATCAACCAGGTGGAAACATTTAATTGTTTGATCTTCTTCATAATACATAACACTGACCTCTACATATATCCACCTGATTCATTCGGACTGCAGATGCTAATTCCTTTGCCAATTTGGAGAACATTGCTGCCTTTAACTGTGCTGTGTTACAAAATATGCCATGTTTCATAAGTGTATTATGTTTGGTTTAGGAATTCATTGCAATCAGAATGAATAGTTAAATATTTCTGGAGAGACTGAATCGTGCCCCAAAATGAACTAGGGACCCAATTTCTGTGCGGCTACCAAATTAAACCAATGTAAAGGTCTTCAAAAGAATGAATAGAAACTGGTTTTGTGCACTGGATTTATGAAAACAAATAGGAAGTGGTTTGGCGCTTTGGAATTGTACATCTTTGACCGGGAAATGGTTTAAATGTATTTTGATTCTGTGTATTGTGTATTGGAAAGTGAATGGAAAATTGGGATATTGTGACAATTGGGATATTCAATGGAACTAAATGAGAAGTGAGTTGATGGTTTGGTGTCAGACAAAGGTTCAAGGTTCAAGCTCCTGTTTGGGACCTTGAGCTCATAGTCCAGGTTTTCATTGCATTTTCATTGCAGTGCTGGGGTTGTGCTGCATTGATGGAAATGCCATCCTTCAGATGAGACATTAAGCTGAGGTTCTGTCTATCTGTTCAAGTGGCCAACAAGATTTCAGGGCACGAGTAAAAAAAAAGGGAATTTCTCCCAATGACCTGGCCAACAATTCCCCAAATAACATTGGTCATTCACTTCTTGACTGTTTCTGGGACATTACAGTGGGTAAATTAGCTGTCATGTTCACCTATAAAACTTGCAGTGACCTTTCATGTCAGCGGGTCGTCTCAAAGTGCTTCACAGGTTTACTGCAAAGTTTAGTGTTTGTGGTTTGTGTAAGCAAACATGACACTACATCTCTACAGTAAATCCTGTGAAGGACTTTGAGGCATTTCGACATTGTGATAAGGAGTTACATTAAATGCAAGGATTATTAGTATTATTTGGTGTTACTATACGTGACAGAGGTGGTGGAGGTACATTTGAGCTCTGTATATTGGGAATAATTGAATGTGATTTGAGTTGAGTCCATTGGAATTCTATGCTTTAGTCAGCTTTGTTTATTTGGCTCCAGATGGAAAGAGACCTTCCTCACTGACAGCTGTATAACTGCTCAGAAATAATCCGCTGGTTAATTAACTGCAATTGAACAAACTGTTCTGCTGCGTAGTAAGGGAACAGAACACTTTTCTATTAAGATATATGTAGAGGCACTGCTAGTTGTTTACTAGAATATATTTATCATGTGATTTTGTGGCGGGGAGAAAGATAAAAAGAGAACTAGTAGATTGTCCTCTTGTCAAAAATCTGCGACAAATTAAAAACCCAACTCTTCAAAAAAAATTTAATTAGATATGTTATTCATATTACACCATTCCTTGAACTTTATACACGATAATTGACATGCACACGTATTGCAATAGACGACGCAATTCAATTATGTTTTTTTTTTGGAAGCAGGAGCGAGAAAAAGAAATAGATTTTTGTAATGTAGAAAAACAGGAAGGAATCAAGATAAAGGAGGTTTAACCTATCCACTTACCAATACAATACACAGATTGTATTCTAGATCTTCGGCCACTGAGGTCAGGAAGAATTTTGGACTGTAGACTTCTTTTCAATCTCATACCTGCAACACCGTGTGATAACACTTCCACTGTTTTTCAGGGCAGGGAATGACTCATTCTCTTACCTTGCAGTGACATTTCTCAGAGCGATATCTTGGAGAGAATTGAGACTGATGCCTTTGTTGATCTTCCAGACTTGGTGGAACTGTAAGTGATGATTAATTTACTCTTAGCTTGTGCATGAACTTGAATTCTAATGCCATTATACGCCATTAAGTGAATATCATAGAGAAGTAGAACAGGTAAGATACTGACCTTGGCTGACGGTGGTGGAGTGGACGGTACAGGCAGGAGAGAGGGTTAGAGGAGATTGGGGAGGAAGCAGGTACAGGTGTGTCAATTTCAATGTGTTTCTGGAGCATTTTGTGGCATAGGAGAAACAATAACAATAAGGAATTGAAAGAAAGAAGTGAGACAATTGGGGGTGCATTAGTCACGGTTATGGGAAAATAGAAAGATAGTAAAAGTATGACTGCTGTTCAAGGAGAAAGGAAGGAACAAATCAAGTAGTGATAGTCCTGGGAGTTCAAGAACCATCCTGCATAAATGACTAGACTCCCATCAAGGACAGAGTAACTGAGTATCTGGGTGTAACCGAGTAACTGAGCAAATCAGAGAGAATAAGCATAGTCTTATGAGAGTTAGATCGTGTCTGATTAGTATAGAGTTTGTTGATCGTTCTTATGTTACCAACCATTGAGGTGAGGAATAAAAGAGATATGGTCAATTTCATGTGGATTTTCAGAAGTCATTGGATAGGGTGCCACATAGGAGAATACCGGGCGAAACGCAAGTGCATGGAATTGGAGACAATATTGTGATATGGATAGAATATTGGCTGACGTGAAACAGGGTATTGGGTTAAAGGAGATATTGTCGGATTGACAGGCAGTGACAAATGGTGTCCCCCCAGGGATCAGTCCAGAGCTCCAGCTTTTCAATTTGCATATGGATAACAGGATTAGCATCGATTATGATGTCCTAATAGCCAAACTGGTGAAGAAAGGATATTTTAAGCTGGGTCGCTGGTGGGAATAACATCTAACGCACAGATCAGCATCAGATGGTGCATCTTTGAGAGGAAGGGAAACATGGGGCAGAGGAAATGCATAGAATCATTATTTTAAATATCGCCTTACGAAAAAAAAAGATTATTTGTGTACATCTTTGAAGTCTTTTTTTAAAAAAAAGTTCTTAATTTATTTTCGAATGGCGCTCTACACAACATTCACTTTTTATCTTGCCTTTCTCTCCTCAGTTCCATTCAAAATACAAAACATTTGGTGATCATCGAGCGAGGGGCCTTCAAAAATCTCCCCAGGCTAAAATACATGTGAGAGAACCAAACTTGCAGTCATTTGAGAAGCATGTTTCATGTAGCGCTCATTGCATTTTATGGACTGCTTGTGTTTGATGGGCTGGTGGTGTTACAGGAATGGTTATGTTTGATGGAACGGTTGTATTGAAAGTACAGAGTGAAAACTGGGTGTGTTGAATGTGCTGTGTGACTATTTTACACGTGGAGAAAGAGCACTGGCACGTGGGCTGCAAGTTGGCCTCTACTTCCTCTGCACACCTTAACTGCAGAAGCCTCAGTCTTTCCCCAGCGCCCGCCTTTCCTTGGCACCGAATTTCAATTCGAGTTTATCGTACCAATGCTGTGCTGCTGAACAGACAAGTGGGTGAAGAGGGATCAGACATTAAATCTGTTATCGACCATTACAGAGAAAATCCAAAAAACTTTCATTTCTTCTAACTGTTTCTCATCCTTATTTTAAAGAGCAAAGAACAAATACAGCCATGAAGCGAATGGCCATGAATTAACGAACTGGAAAGTTTTTTGGGGGGCAGTACACTGGGAGAATCTCCCTTCTCTTTTTTTTTTGCTTTGGAACTTCATCCCACGTTCCCTTTGCCTCTTTCGAAAGCACGTCTCAAGACCTTCCTCTTTGACCCTGCGTATAGCCACCCTCCTACCTCTACCCTCCCTGCCCTCCACACCCTCTGATCCCAATCCCCTGCTCGGGTCCAAATCCCTGACTGTCCAGCGCCTTGGGACGTCCTCCCGACATGAAAGGCACTGTAACAAATATAATTTGTTGTTGTTAGTCATTTCATTGGATGTCGCATCAGGAACTGAGGGAACCGGAACTTATCTTACTACCCCCGTCCTGTCCTCTCATCCCTCCAACTTCTCTGGAATCACGCTCCAGTACTTGACTTATGTCCTCCGAGAGCACCCTGGCAAACGTTTCTCTGTCATAGGCATTACAAGGTGGGAGAGTTCAGTGCCACAAATGGGGAAAGCAATAATGACTGAAAAGCAAGTCATTGTCACTTAGATCGTGCAGTAATTTACGCTAAATGCATATGCTCCCACACCTACATTCTGCTCATTGTGTGGTTTCTTCAGACAGCTTGTGCTTTCATGACATTTCGAATCGTTCGGTTAGCTGTCTGTTGGAATAAAGGTGTTTTATTGTACTTTTGTCTGTTCTTGAGAGTGTCTTGAGTCTCTTAAGTGCTGAGATGAATACTTATTCAGAATTATTTTCTCAAACTAGGAGCATATGTAATACTGGAATACAATTTTTTCCCGATCTGACACACATTCATTCAATTGCATCCAATTTTATTCTGTAAGTAGCCTTACTCTTTTCATTTTTTTTTTAGTGTGATTAAAATGAAGTGTGGTGTGGGTGTAATAATGATTCCAGGTGTGAGGGACTACTATTAAAATTATTACTTTTCTTTACAATAACAATTTCAGTTCTCTTTTCTTTAATTTTCAGAGAAATCTGTGATAATTTAAACATTCTCAACATACCAGAAAATGCCTTTCAAGGAATGAATAACGATTCCCTGACATTGTAAGTATAGGATCTGCAGTGATGCAACCTACCAACCCGCCCGTTCCCTCCGCTCAGCCGGCTCTGGCCGGCTCCACGTCCCCCGACCCAACCGCCCCACCATTGGTGGGAGAGCCTTCAGCCACTCTGCCCCCAACCTCTGGAATTCCATCCCCCAATCACTCCACTCGCCCCCTCCTTTGCCTCCTTCAAGTCCCGCCTCAAAACCCTCCTCTTCGACCGTACCATCAGCCACCCCCCTTCCCTCCCTTTTCCCCCCCCCCGACCCCAACTTGGGTCTGAAATGCTGTACTCTATCCAGTGCCTTGGGACATCCTCCCGACGTGAAAGGCGCTACACAAATGTCATCTTGTTGTTGTTGTTGTTGTTGATGATGATGTAATAAACTGGTGGAACGGGCTGAGTGGCTTCCTCTTGTTGCTATGTTCCTACATTGGCTTCATGCACCTGAGCATTACAATATTCCCAACAAGATAGCATTCTTTATCAAACTGAATCCTTTGCTCCAAGATACTCTGAGCATGGCGGGTGGTGCAGCCCTCAGAGCGACATGATTCCGATTAGCGCCAAAATTGAAAGCTCCATATTAAAACCAAAGACAGATCTCCCTGGTAGCTTCTTACAGTACTGATACTCCAGTGGTCATGTATAAAGCAAAATTGTCAGAAGTCCAGGGAGAAGTCCTGTAGCTTAGTGGTTAGAGCGCGCGCCTCGCAAGGGCGAGGACCCGGGTTTGATTCCCGGCCAGTGAAACGCTAAGCAAGTTTCCTCACTCCACACACCTCCGTTTTTTCTTCAAGACCCTCCTCGTCGATTGTGCATTCGGTCACCCTACACTCCCTGCCCTCCACCCCTCCGGATCCCAACTACCAGCTCGGGTGCAGAGCCCTAAAGTGAAAGGCGCTGTACAAATGTAATTTGTTGTTGTTGTTGTTGTTTATCTAGCGGTAAATAGGAAACTGGTTGTTAGTCGATTGTTTTTCTGGGATTAATAAACCAATGTCGGTCACTCAATCCACCACTGTTTGTGGGACACTGATGTGCGCATTGGCTGCCGTGTTTCACCTATACAAAAAAATAGTCAATTCTGTGAAGTGCTTCGAGATGTTCCAATGACGTTTATTCTCTATGTCCAACCCATGCAATAATTCTCGTGACCAATCTCTCTATCGAACCAATGTAATAATAACAAGGAATCCATTCTTTCAGCTATAAGATTTATGTAACAATGCCCCGATGCCCATTTTACATATTTAACCAACGTCAAGTAACCGGTATTGAAGCATTAAGTTTATTTAGACTGGAAATCTCGTTGATATCCCATATGATAATCTACACTTAACTGTCTATATTGTGAACTCATATTTCTAAATGTTGATTTTTACAGGAAGCTGTATAGAAATGGATTTATAGATGTGCAAAGTCAAGCATTCAATGGGACAAAACTGGATAAACTGTAAGTTATATTTGTTGCAAGTGTGTGTATATATACATATATATCAGTACAAATGTTGCTCACATACTTTGAATTATAAGTGGAATGTTTTAATCAGAGTTTTCATTAAAAACTTTCATTTTAAATAAATAAAACCAACAAAAACGCCAACAGTGCTTGCACATTTAGGATTTAATTTCAACATCTTTGAAGGACGACGCAGAATCTTAACACATGTTTTCAAGCTTCAAGGTCTCTCCAAGGACTTTGTCCCGATCACAGATAAGCTGAAGTATGGAGATTCAAGTGCTCCGTGGTATTATAGACCCGGATGCACACTTAAGTCATTCTCTAAATTTACTGTATTGTAACAATGATTAGAATGGAGTCAAAGTGTGAGTTTTCTAAGTGTTAAGTTTAATGGGTAAGGAAAATCTTGGGGAAGAGTACTTTCCAGTCAGTGCTAACTGCTGGGTAGGGTGACACGATTAGAATCTGCCCTGAATGAGATTAGGTGACTTAGAGCATGTGCTTACTTTCTACTACACTATAGGGGAGTTTATAACCCTTGCATTTGTTATAGCGCTTTATCATGTCTTCGAGACGTCTCAAAGCGCTTCACAGAATATACTTGTAAAGCGAATTGACTGTGTATTTTGTGGGCGAAACGCGGCAGCCAACTTCGCACAGCAGTCGTGGGTTGAAGTAACCAAATTATTATTAGTATTTTTTTTAAGGGAATATTACTCCCGGAAAAGCGATCTGCCAATCGACTAACAACCTTAGTGCTAGGTAAACAAGAAGCGCGCAGAGTGAGGAAACTTGCCTAACATTTCACCCTGCCCGGGAATCGAACCCAGGTCCACTCGCTTGCGAGGCGAGTGCTCTAACCTATACCCTACAGGACTCCTGTAGAACGTGTTGGTGCAATGTATGGTTTGGATACATGGTGATGGTTTTCGCCATTTGTGAGACACCCGGCTAACCCCCCAAAAGACTACACCAGTTCTCATGCTACAAAATGCCTACCTTACGGGTCATCGGGTCACCATGTTGCACATTTATACACATGACACCCTCTGAGGGAGTTCCTCACACAAAGCCCAAAGGGGGAAGGAAGAGGGTCTCTTCAAGCCACGGATCTGCAGTATTGAGCATACCTGAATATCACCACTCAATTGCTTTTGAAAGTCAAGAAGAAATGTCAAGAGTTTCCTAATTATAGATGTTTTATCTATTGTTACTTGCCTCCCTTGGGAGATTAAATAAGATAAATCAAGTCAATAATGGTGCAAATTATACACCATCTACTGAAAGTAGGTTTCATCGATGTAACGCCATTTACATGTTCAGTGCTTTTTATATCCTTTGGCGATTTTGTAAAATGATGTTGACATTTGAGTGAACCTCCACAAACATGAGGGCCAATCATTAAAAATAGTGAGCTTTTCATTACTTGCTCATAATGGGAATTTATCAAAGTAATTAATGAAAGCAAAGTTTAAAGGAACGTATGCATAAGGTCTTTGTGACAGATTCCTTCAGCTACTAAGAGTAGGAAAGAACTTTTGTCATCCAAATCTCCCATAGCTGAGATGCAACAACAACAACAACAACAGCAAGATTACATTTGTATGGCACCTTTCACGTCAGGAGGACATCCCAAGGCGCTGGACAAATAATAATAATAATCTTTGCATTTGATATAGCGCTTTTCACGTCGTCTCAACTTCTCAAAGCGCTTCACAGAACACACTGCAAAGTGAATTGACTGTATATTTGTGGGCGAACGCGGCAGCCAATTGCGCACAGCAATGTCCCACAAACAGTCATGGATTGAAAATGACCAATTTATTATTGTTTTGTTTTTTGGAGGGATTATTATTAGGCGTGTGAAGTAACACAAGGTTACTTGCCCAAGGTTTCGCGCTGCCATGTGTACAAGGCGAGTGCTCTAACCACTGAGCTACAGGTCTCCATAGCATTTCAGACCTGAGCTGGGGTTGGGGGGGGGGAAGGGAGGGGAGGGGAAGGGGGTGGCCGATGGCACGGTCGAAGAAGAGGGCCTTGAGGCGGAACTTGAAGGAGGTTTAAGAGGGGGCGAGGCGGAGTGACTGGGGGATGGAATTCCAGAGGTTGGGGGCAGAGTGGCTGAAGGCTCTCCCGCCGATGGTGGGGCGGGTGGGTCGGGGGCCGTGGAGCCGGCCAGAGCCGGCTGAGCGAAGGGAACAGGCGGGTTGGTAGGGGGTTAGGAGGTCGCAGAGGTAGGGTGGGGCGAGGCCATGGAGGGCTTTGTAGGTGAGGACCAGGATCTTGAACTGGATCCTCTGAAGGACAGAGAACCAATGGAGTCGGGCGAGAGTGGGGGCGATGGGGTCACGGAGTTTGGTGCAACAACCAAACAGGCACATTACAAATACCAATTGAGCTCTTCTAATGGCTTCTTGTTATTGTTTATATCCTGAAGATCTATACACATCGACTTCCATGACTTTGATGATGGTATTTGTAGGGGTCATTTCAAATCTGACCTTGTAGATGTGTTCTTTTAGCTTTGGTTAAAAATAAATCACTGTCCCCTTGAAGTTTCTATTATCAGAAGATTGCAAGTCTGGAAACTGCTTATCACACAGTTATAGGGACATTGATAGCAAGAAAGGCCATTATCTCAGCTTATAGCACACTGTTTCGAGAAGATCAAAGTAAAATTCCAAATGTAAAATTACCCAGAAATGAAGGAATGTAATGGTTCAGAAGTGGTCCCTCAGCCATCTGAAGAGGTGGCTGACCTTTCTCAAACGAAACGTAGCGTAGGTTTTGTTTGAAAAGGAAAAAATTGCAAGGAAATGGGGAAAGAGCGGGGGAGTGGGACTGACTGGGTAACTCTTCCAAAGAGCTGGCACAGGCAAAATGGGTTGAATGTCCTCCTTCTGTGCCTTAAGATTCAATGATTCTATTTATAGCAGTGTTTGGAATGTGCAGCATGAGAAGAAAGTACTGGAGCCAATGTGGTCGCTTCCAAAGTAAACAAAATGAAATAAAAAAATAGGTTTTAATAATATAAAATAATCCAACCCTATTCTCACTCGGATCCCACCAGTTGTGGGTGCCTATTTACGCCGAACAATATCCCATAAGCAGCTAGTGTGTATGTTTCTTTTTGCTCAAAGTTTGGCTGAATTAAATTACAGTAATTGACTTAAAATTCCTCTCCAGGGAACTGAACGATAATACAAATCTGAAGAGGATACACAATGATGCCCTAAAGGGAGCTATTGGACCAGATGTATTGTAAGTTTTATATAAATACACAGTATTCCAAATGTGTAAATGTGTATTTAGTTCATGCAGATCCTTTGTTTGAACTTAATAAAACCATTTCCTTCAATTATACTGACATATTATCAGAGCCTATGATAATAATAATTTGCGCATAACAAAATACCTTTCGCATTCGCCCATAAAATATACAGCCAATTCATTTTATAGTGATATAAAAGTCTCCAAGACTTGATAAGGTGCTATAACACCTGCAGAAATTATTATTAAGTGTAGCGACTGTGTATTTTGTAGGCAACGCAGCAGCCAATTTGCACAAAGCAATGTTTCATAAACACCCATGAACTGAACAACTCATCTTATCTGGGGGATTGTCGGCCCGGACAACTCCCTTCTCTTTTTGAATAGTGTCATGGGAACTTTAAAGTCCACCTGAACAGACAGACAGGATCTCGCTTTAACATATCATCCAAAAGAAAGGAACTCCAACTTTGTCGCACTCCCCCCAGCATTCGAATGCCAGCCTGGACCATGAGTTCAAAGTCCCGACATGAGGATTGAACCCACAACCTTCTCCTGTCTCAGAAGTGAGAGCGCTATGAATTAAGGCAGGCTGTGCACCCAGAGTTAAAAACGGCAGCCAATATGCAAACAGCACAACCAGCCATAAAGTAAATGGCTGGTTTAACTGGAGGATTGTGGACCAGTACATCAGGTGAAACTATTTTGTCTTTTTGAACAGTATCATAAGATCTTTAATTTCCATTGAAACAGATGGGATCTGTTTAATATCTCACCTGAAGCGCAGCACCTCCAACGATGCATTGCTTCCCAGCTTAGACTGTAAACTCAAGTCAAGGCGTAGGGCTTGAACCCACAAACATCTGAACCAGAGGCGAGATTGCTACAAAAATGAGCCAAGGTGACACCAATGCAGACTTTAGGCTTGTGGCTTGTGCAGTGAGGTATTAAAACCTCGTAACGGAACTGTTTTTTTTTTTTGCAGAGATGTGTCCTCAACAGCCCTGGAGTTTCTTCCATCTTACGGGTTGGAACACATCCAGAAGCTAACTGCCCGCTTTGTGTACTCTCTGAAAAGATTCCCACCCTTGGAAAAGTTCACCAATCTCTTGGAGGCCAACTTGACATACCCCAGTCACTGCTGCGCGTTCAAAAAATGGGAGAAAGCAAAAGGGTAAAATCTTGTGATTTGTTACGTCTAAATTTGGCAAATTCACAGAAATAGATTTGTTGCGTTGTTGCAATTTCGGGTTTGTGAATATTGGTTTGTGAGATTGACACCTGGCGATGTGATGCGATATTACGATACTGTTGTAGTTCTTCCTTAAATGTGCCGACAAGTGGGGAATAATGAGCCCATATTGCTGAGGTCGGCAAATTTACCAAGTGGAACAAATTACATACACACACACATGGTGTACAGATGTTAAGGAGAATGGAGAAAAGGCAAGGAAATGTCACGGAAACTTCTACCATGATCCGATACAATTGCAGATGAGGTTCGATGGGCAACACCTTCCTCCCAAATTCTTATTTCTCAGCCCTGGATGAAACTGACAGTTATTTTCCCTTCAGACAGAATTCCATACCTTTATTTAACTTTTCAAAGTCATGTGGAACTGCGACCAGAAAAGCAACTCAAGATCAGGAATTATCTGTGGGTCGTGACCAGGATAAAATGCTGTAAGTAATGGGGTCATTATTGTATAACTAATCTGTGCGGTAATAATAATAATCGTTGCATTTGATATAGCGCCTCATCACGTCCACAAACAGTCGTGGATATAGTGACAAAATTATTTGTTTTTTTAAGGGATTATTACCCCCCAGAAAAGCGATCCACCAATCAACTAACAACCGGTTTCTTACTTACTGCCCGGGAATCGAACCCAGGTCCTCTCGCTTGCGAGGCAAGTGCTCTAACCACTAAGCTACATGGCTCCACAATTTGTACTGGATTTTGAGTGCGGTGCTGGACTTGGGGCCGGAGCAGGGTGAAGGTTTGGAGTGGAGGGAAGGGAAGGAGTCTCCCAGCTATATTATAGATGTGGGGAAGGATGAATATTCTACGAATATCGCTTCCACACAATTAGGGTTTGGGGGATGTTTTCCTTAGATATTGAAAGATTTAATTCGCAGCATTTCTTTCCAGGATTTGGTAAATTGTAATCCTGTTAAAATTTGTGTTGACTCTGGAAATACTACTCTGCTGGAGCAAAACAGCCAGCCAGGTCCAAGTCCAGAGATCTTACAACACTCACGAGGGATGAAAGTGATGGTAAGGTCTATCGCTAGCCTAGTTATGACTGACTGGCTAACATAGGTTGTGACCTCCTTCATTTTCATCTCATTTATTAACAACAACAACAACTTACCTAGTCATTACCTACTAACACCTATATATGTATAATAATAATAATGCTTACATGCGATACAGCGCCTTATCATGTCTTCGAGACGTCTCAAACCGCGCCACAGAATATACTGTAAAGTGAATTGACTGTACATTTTGTGAGCGAAACGCGGCAGCCAATTGCGCACCGCAGCGTCCCACAAACAGTAGATTTTTTTAAGGGATTATTAAAATCTTGTATGTGTATATATCTATATATATATATCAAAATCCTCTATAAAAATGCAGAAATTTTCTCATAACCAATTAGGATAAATAAGACGTCCTCCTGACGTGTGAGGCACTTTATAAATGTAAATTGTATTGAATGTAAAGATTTGATACTTGCTCCGCTTTCTATGTAACGTTCAAAAATTTTGGGAAGGAATCGGTCACTAAAAACTTCTTTCCTTCTATCTGCGTGTAGTGTGAAGAACTATGATTCTGAAGCCAATCTACTACCACCGCAGTTTGGATATCAAGGCTTAAAGGATGTTCGAGCTGGCACCACTAATCTGTCAGTTGGAGTGAAGAACTCTTCTTCACAGATCCCCGAAGCTGAATTTTACTATGAATACGAGAACATGGACGAAATGATCGACGGCAATGCATTCGATTACGGCTTTTGTCACGGCAAAGCTATCCTGGTCTGCACTCCAGAGCCGGACGTCTTCAATCCTTGCGAAGACATCATGGGATACGACATTCTCCGAGTCCTCATATGGTTCATTAACATCCTTGCCATTGTGGGAAACCTCATCGTCTTTGTGGTCCTGGTGATCAGCCAGAACAAGCTGACTGTACAGCGGTTCCTCATGTGTAACCTGGCCTTCGCAGATCTTTGCATGGGGCTCTACCTGCTGCTGATTGCTGCCGTCGACATGAACACCAAGAGCCAATATTACAACTACGCCATAGATTGGCAGACCGGGGCCGGCTGTGCCTCCGCTGGCTTCTTCACCGTCTTCTCCAGCGAGCTCTCGGTCTACACGCTCACCATGATAACCTTCGAACGGTGGCACACCATCACCCACGCCATGCAGCTCGACAGGAAGCTACAGCTCAGACACGCTGTGGTGATCATGTGTGGCGGCTGGGTCTTTGCCCTCATCTTAGCGGTGCTGCCCCTCGTGGGCATTAGCAGTTATATGAAGGTCAGCATTTGCTTGCCCATGGATGTAGAAAGTCTGGTTTCCCAGATCTATGTTATATTGATACTCGTGCTGAATGTCATTGCCTTCGTGGTCATTTGCGTCTGCTACGTCAAAATATATTTAGCCGTCCAGAACCCAGACTTTGTGTCTAAAGGTAGCGACACCAGAATTGCCAAACGAATGGCGGTGCTGATCTTCACGGACTTCACCTGCATGGCGCCCATATCATTCTTTGCCATTTCAGCGGCCTTCAAGTGGCCCCTCATCACGGTGACCAACGCCAAGATTTTACTGGTGCTCTTCTACCCGCTCAACTCCTGCGCCAACCCCTTCCTCTACGCTATCTTCACCAAAGCGTTCCGGAGGGATTTCTTCATCCTGATGAGCCGCCTCGGCTACTGCGAAGCGCAGGCCCACATGTACAAAATGGACAATTCGAACTCCAGGAGTGGAGGTGCCATGGAATGCCCGAGAGCAGTGGTCAAACTGACCAGCTTCAACGAGCTGGACTTGTCAGGCAGCGGAGCTGGTACCTGCAGCTTCGAGTCCTGAGAAACAATCTGCTGGGTGGAAGTTTTAACCGCCTGAGGGGAGGAGGAAGAATATTGTGTCTCTAAGGTGTACATACTTTATTTTCCCCCCTGCAACCAGTAAGCAGGATTGACGAAACCCATTTCACGTTCAGTATTTTTTCCATTTCCAGAGGAAACTGTGTATTTTTAATTTTGTACATTTTTTTTGGGTTAAAAAAAAGTCTATCAACAGTATCTGATGTTACAGAGGTAAAGATTGCGTTTTAAATCATGTTGAATTCTTCTTGTGCAACTTAAGCTGTGTCGTCAAGAGAGCAGGACAAATGATGTTGGTCCAGGAACTATTTTTCCTGCCCCTAAGCCTGTGCCAACACTTAACTATTTCTAATCGCCTGAACTATCTCCGCCCTCGATTTCTTAAATGTAAAATACGACAAACGTAAAATAACCGCCTCCAGTCGTATTTTTTCTTGTAAAAAAAAAACCATTTCTATTGAAAAGAATATTTTAAATACATTCCTGGATTGAATGGACCATTTGTTTCGTTGTTTTGTTGTTAAATATACAATATATATTTTCAATTTAAAGCAGAGCTTAAAATTCCTTGTGGTCAACAGTCTTAAAATAAGATTGTGCAGAATTTTACAAAAGTTCTTAAATGCAGCCTTAATTTGGAAGCGGGTTTTTCCAGTTCCTAAATTTCTGAAGAATCTTACGTTAATTTAAGACAATAGTCTCAAAGCTAAAACTATGAGAATTTTCACCTCTGAAGAGCAGGTATCACCATCAGTGTATCTGTTTGAGGAAAAGTTAGTTATCCAAATAAATGATAAAGAGAGAGCATGGAGGACGTAATTCAGAGAATAATAATAATAACCCTTGCATTTTGAAATAGGGTGTTATCACGTGGTTGAGACGTCTCAAAGCGCTTCACGGAATATACTGTAAAGTGTAGTGACTGTATTTTGCGGGCGAAACGTGGCAGTCAGTTGCACGCAGCAGTGTCCCAACAAACAGTCGTGGAATGAGTGACCGAATTTTTTTTTTTTTTTGTAATATTAAAATTATTTCCAGTGATGATTAATGGTCCACTTCACCAAATACAATATCCTGCGTCCCAATAATTGCAACCGTGTCAGCTAACGTGTGTCCTGGGGACATTTTATCTTGCCCAGCCAAATGGGTGAAACCTGATGCTTTAATCTAATATCGATGTAGCCAACTCGAGCCATCAGACACAAGTACTTTTTACACATAGAGCAACAGAGCTGAGCTGACATACACAGGCGAGAGCCGAAACCCTGGTTTGATGGCTTTGACTACTACTGTACTCATATTAATACAAAGTTCACCCCCACCCACACGCACAGCAATATAAAGTTGTTTATATATATATATAAATATAAACAATATAACATAATAATCCTTGCATTTATAGAGCGCCTTTCATGTCGGAAGGACGTCCCAAGGTGCTGGACAGTCAAGGATTTGGACCGGGGCGGGGTTGGGGTCAGGGAGGGTGGGGTCTTGACACGTGCCTTGAAGGAGGCAGAGACCACACACCAGAATCCCACCCTCAAAAGAGCAAAGTTAAGCTGATAATTGGTGCTGATACGACAGCAGCTTGCTTTTAAATAGTGTCCTTCACCTACATAACTTCTCAGGCGGCTGTGAAATTCTCAGTCAAAAATTCTCTTCTCGTTTGCTGCAATAAGCAAATAATAAGGGGAAACGTGAATGAAGGAATATTACTGCAAATTGCCCTTGTGGACTACCTAACTTTCTGCCTCACTGATCTACTAAATACAGGTCCCTCTGCAGTTTCAATAACCACCTCCGGCACGTTTTCTATTTGCCACCTGCTCAAGAGAGGGTGCGAAGGGCTTAAGCAGCTGTCACTCAGAGGAAGAAGTGGTTTTCAATGTCAGCGTTCACTGAAACAGCAGCATATGAAATTGTGGGGTGGGGAGGCCCAATAGAAAAGGGCATTTCCTTCCCTGCTGCACATTTTAATACGTAACCTCTAAATCATCTACAGTAGAGAAGATTATCCACACTAACTGGGACTGAAACCACTGAAGATATGGTTAATTGGACATTTGATGACGTAACGGAGAGGGTGGATGAAGGTAGTGCAGTTGATGTAGTTTATATGGATTTTCAAAAGGCATTTGATGAAATGCCACATAAGAGACTTGTAAGCAAAATACAAGCCCATGGTATTCAAGGGACAGTGGCAGCGGATACAGAACTGGCTGGGAAACAGAAAGCAGAGAGTGGTGGTTAACAGTTGGTTTTTCTGACTGGAGGGAAGTGGTGTCCCCCAGGATCGGTATTGGGACCACTTCTGCTTTTGATCTATATAAATGACCTGGACTTGGGTAGAGGGAGTACAATTTCCAAGTTTGCAGATGATACTAAGCCAGGAAAGGTAGTAAACAGTGAGGAGGATAGTAGCAGACTGCAAGCTGACATAGACAGACTGGTAAAACGGGCAGACATGTGGCAGATGAAGTTTAATGTGGAGATGAAGTGATGGATTTGGGGAGAGAATGAGGAGATGCAATATAAGATAGATGGAACAATCTTAAATGAGGTGAAGGAACAGAGAGACCTACCTGGGGGTTCATATATGTAAGTCTTTGAAGGTGGCAGGACAGGTAGATAAAGCTGTTTAAAAAAGCATAACGAATACTGCCTTTATGAATAGAGGCATAGAATACAAAAGTCAAGAAGTTATGATGAACCTTTATAAAACACTGGTTAGGATTCAGCTCAAAGACTTACACGTAAGTCCCTGCGTTCAGTTCTGGGCACCACACGTGAGGAAGGATGTGAAGACATTGGAGTGGGGACAGAGGAGAGTTACCAGGATGGTATCAGGAGAGGCCAGAGAAACTAAGATTATTCTCCTTGGAGCAGAGAAGGTTAAGAGGAGACTTAATAGAGGCTTTCAAAATTATGAGGGGTTTCGATAGGGTGAACAAGGAGAAACTATTTCCACTGGCGGGTGCGTTGATAACCCGAGGACATCGATTTAAAATAGTTGTTAAAAGAAACAAAGGAGAGGTGAGGAGAAATGTTTTCACACAGCAAGTTGTTCGGATCTGGAATGCATTACCTGAAAGGGTGGTGGAAGCTGATTCGATCACAACTTTTAAGAGAGAAGCAGATAATGATTTGGGGAGGACAAGTTTGCAGGGCTATGGGGAGAGAGTGGGGGAGTGGGATTGAATTGGACAGCTCTTTTCAAAGAGCCATCACGGACACGGTGGGCTGAATGGCCTCCTTCCGTGCTGTATATTTCTACGATCATGTAAGATATAAATTAGGTCCTGCTAAGCAAAAACTTCTTCCATCAGGATTTTTTTTCCCAATCCGTATAGTGTCACACTGTGCCAGCCATCTCTTTCTGTATCTCTCACTCATCATCTCTAACACTTTTCTTTCTCTCTCGCTCTCTCTGAAATGGGGCTATCTCTGACTCTAATTTCCTATCCTTCTCTCCCTTGCTTTCTGCACCATGTTCCCTCATCTCTAATCTCAATTTGCATCTGTACTTCTGATCGTTCAGTGATCCTGCTTGTGTTCTGGCTGCTTTTAAATTCAGGTTTTATACTATAATTTTTTTAATGCTTTTATACTACACATCCTCTCGACATGGAGGCACTATATAAATGCAATTTGTTGTTGTAGGAAGGGTCAGATCCTTTACAATATTTTAATTCAGCATCCAAATAACAGCACTCTCCGAAGTGCCAAGGTAAAAGCCAAGGTCCACATTATCTCAAAGCAATAGATAATGCTTTTTTTTTTAAAAAGTAGACAACAAACACTTGAACAACAGGTTTGCTTATTCAGACTCCAATAACAAAACATGCTCATTAATTCACATTATCATCAGCCATTGCCTTTGTTAATTAAGCCCGAGTCTTCATAACGCACAAAGGAATTTTTGAACACAATGAGCACTTAAAAAAATATGTTTTTCAGTTGAAGCAAACAGTGACCAAGTATTCTATGTGGTAAACAAACAAGGCTATGAACATGTCCTACACACCAGCTGCATCCAACCTTCTTAATTGAAACTCATCCATTCATTTTCAATTTTTTAGTTGAATCGGGAATACTATTGGTACTTAAGTGGTTAACAAAATGTGTTTCTGTGATTACATGTTGTGAGAACTCATTTCATCAACCAGTGTTATTTTTTGGAACCAGTTAAAGCGCCATCATTTTTGAGGCCCTCTATAATTTGAAATAAAAACAAGTTTGTGGAAACAAGAGCGTTGTGTATGATGTCTCCGTTTCTGACTGCTGCCTCGGAGTGCTAGAGAACACCAAAAAAAAAACAGCGACTTTTCTCATACACGGTGGGAACAAGACAACAGGATATGGGGAAAGAGTGGGGGAGTGGGACTGATTCGGTAGCTCTTCCAAAGAGCTGGCACGGGCACGATGAGCCGAATGGCCTTCTTTCTGCGCTGTAATATTCTACGATTCTAGAAGGGCTTCACAAAATGTACGCACACATACTGTTCAGTCTCGGGATCTGAATGCTCGTCCATATCTCCACACGTGGTTTACCTCTTGTAGCCCTGTGCTATTGTGGGGAGGTGCCAACAATCCCACACAAGCCGTTGAGAAGGATTTCGGGCCCACCCTGCACACCTTACAGAGCGCAATCGTAGAACATGGTTGAAGAATGACTTGCTGCACCTTTGTAGGAGCTTTCAGTGATTTATCTATCTACCAGCCCGGTTCAGCTAGTAGCATTCTCACCTCAGAGTCAAAAGATTATGGGACAAGACTTAAAAGTCCTGGTTCAAGTTGACACACCAATTCAGTGCTGTCCTTCAAATGAGCTGTTAAACCGAGATCCCAATTGCCAGCTCAATTGGACGTTAAAGATCCCATGGCGCTATTCGAAAAGAAAAGGCGGTTTCTCCCAGTGTCCTGGCCAATAGCCCCATCCCCCCCCAAAATAAAATAGGTGATTCACTTCATGGCTCTCTGTGGACCACTGATATGCAGAAGAAAACTAGCTGTCATATAGTCCCGATAAATCTTGTGAAGCACTTCGAGACGTCCTCCCGAAATGAAAAGCATTATAACAAACACAAGGATAGTTATTAGTCGAATTAGTACACCCAAGTTCATGT